TCTTTCCCTTATATGAAGTTCTCAAACAAGTACTTCCTGTGGCCGTAGAGTAACCATCTTTTATGCAGGGCAAGTTTTATTGGTTTCAGATTTTACCCTTCTTAGTGTTTTCATTGTCCTCTGTCCTGAAACAGGATGGAGAGTTGTTTGTTGGTTTTCTTTGTAAAACTTTTTATGAATTTGCAATGGAAAACATTTCAACTGTGCTTCAAATAATCAACCTGAAACAATGACTTGTGATATGGCTTATTTTTACAGTCTGCTGCTGTGAAAGATGTTTTGAAGGACCAGGAAAGCAGGAAAGGCCTGATTGCTGCTATATGCGCAGGTGGGTTAATAAGACATCTTGCTTTGTAAAGTACTTGGATGTTTTGAAGGGACCTGCAGACAGTTGTCCTATCTTAGAAATCTGTGTCCCTGTAATTTAGTAACAGGAAAGTATACTGCATACGTACCCTGCAGCATTTGAATACTCTGTAAATCTAAGAGGAGAAGATCTGTAAAATATTGTGAAACTTGCCCTGCAAGTCCTGTTTGATACCCAGTTCTTTCCAATCATAAGGTGTTGGATTAGTGGCTTGAAAATGCAAAGTTAAATATAATGTACTAGGATGCTTTATAAAATACCTGCTTATCCTTGTGATCTTTCACCAGGACACAGTGCTGGCAGAACATCGTTGCTATAAATTTGGCTGATATAAGATAACATGGCCCTCTTCTGCCCATAAGCTTCAGAAGGAAGGCTGTAAATATAGAATTTCAGGCTCACTCTTCCTCATCAGAGTGGCAGCAGAAGACAAGTATTTTGAGGAGAGGGTTGTCGGTTTGCATGTTCTGCACAGTTAGGTATCTAGCTTATTCTATTAAAAGCGTTGTATGTACAAAAGCAAGATGAACAATTGCAAGTACTCTCAGCTCAACTGCAAGACTGGCCTAGGTATACGTAGCTGAGCGTCAAGAGTAGTGATAAGTGCATAAAAGACACTGTCTAATGGAATGTATTTGTTTATTTTCACTTTTGTTCTCTAATACATCACTGTGGTTTAAGAGCTGTAGAAGGGCAGGCCTTGATCTTCCTTCCTTTCGTCATTGTTAGGTGAAATGGTTACAGAGTTGTGAACATTCTTGAACTTGACAGTGGTAGCCCTCTACTTCTCTTCCTGTTTCTGTTGCAGAATAATTGTAAATTCTCAGTTGCCTAATAAAGGCCTTTGCTTGTAATCAGGGCAGTTCATGTAGATATAGCACTTCTCGGGGCAGATTCTAGCTAAACACTAAGACGGTTATTTCCTAGAATACATCTGAAATGAGTCAAATGTGCAGAAATGAAACTCCCATGAGGCAAATCCTGCCTTCAGTTTCTTTTGGAATTCCCGCAAGGATTTTTTTGTCAGATGACATTGTACTTCTTTACACAAAATCCTTCCTCAATTCAGGCCAAGGAGGAAGTATCAGGAGAGAAGAGAAGGGAAGGAAAGAGAAGAGAAAAGAAAATAAGAGACAAGAGAAGAGAAAGACTGTTAAAACCAAAAACTTAGCAGGTAGTGCATCATCTGTCCAAAATACTGCTTGGCACATGACTCCAACATGTGAAGGCTTTTTCTAATGCAGTCCTTATACTAAGTCTCTAAAACCAAGACTTAACAAAGTAGTAAAATATTTGTACCTAATTAGTGTTCAGATTGAAATGCAAGCTTTTTCTTATTTAGTTGCAAGCAGTTTTAAATAAAATGTATTGGAAGTGAAATGACCATTGTACTTGCCTTCATAAGACAGTACATTCGTTGGTAGGACAGCTGCCTAGATTTTCTCTGTTGTTCTTATGTTTTTCTGAACAGGGTGTTTTGTGTAATAGAATGGGAGAGAAGGTGTAGGGATGTTCCTTCTGAGGCTTCTTGCTTCAGAGGTAGGGCCAGGATCAGTTTTATAAATAGTAGTCTGTCCACAATGAGCTTTGGGCCCTTGAGGACCTTGTGCCTGGATGTGTGTTCTTAAAAGTATTTGTATACAGCCGAAGACAGTTCCTCACTAGGGTAACTTTGTCCTTACAGGTCCTACTGCCCTTCTGGCACATGGAATAGGGTTTGGAAGCAAAGTCACAACACATCCTTTGGCCAAAGATAAAATGATGAATGGAGGTATGTAATGATGTTGCTGATTTTCTCTCTAAACCCGTGTCAGAAATCACTTTAGCTGCACCCTTTGTTTAAGGAAAGGATAATAACTCTGTACCTTATTTTACATCTTTGAATTTCAATAATGCTTTCCTGAACATAATGAAATTTCAACTAGATGTGCTAAGACTGTATCTTTAAGTCAGTTTAGCCTGAAATACAGGGCTGTAGTAGCATTCCCATCCTCAGGGAAACTACACTTCTGCTATCATGCTAGAAACAATTTTTTCTCAGGTCCTCTTGAGACTGAGCCATCTCTTGCCCTTTGGTTCATTGCCTCAATGGCCCCAACAGTAAACCCAGGCAGTACTTTTCTCACGAGTAGCGCTTTGGTGCTGTGAGCAGCAAGTGGGCCACATTTTTTTCTCTTACCTAAAGGCAGTGCTGGTGAAGCACTGTAAAGAAGTCATTCTGTGAATATTAACAGATCTGAAAGGTGAGCAGGAGATAGCAGGGTCCCTCCAGTTTCTTCTGAGTGCATTTGAGAAAAAGAAAGTTGTGAACAGATACACAAAAGCAGTCAGACTTCCAAAAGTAGCTTTACGGTAACTGGCCGGCACAGTGAGTGATTCTTGATGAGCTTGTACAATCAGAGGTGCACTCACACACCATGTGGCTAAGCTGCTGGAGCTCCGTGTGGGGCCTTCTCTCCCCGCCCAGGACTACCATGGGCAGTGACGAGCTGCTCAGCCCCTGCAGTGCTGGGGACATGTGCGGTGGGGAGGGGGAAAGGAAGCCCCAGGTGGGCTGCCCGCGGGTGGCAGCTGAAGTGCCTCCAGCAGTGCATGACACCATCGGCCAGGGCCGCCTCTCCTCAGCCGCTATAGCCTGCAGGCAGCACACGGGTGGTGCCCTGCAGCTGGACTCTGCCCTGTGGCGGTGGCTGCGGGCACTGTGCTTGTAGACTGACCCTCTTTCTGTTGTGTCCCCCCGCAAGCACACTACTGCTACTCCGAGAGCCGCGTGGAGAAAGATGGGAACATCCTCACCAGCCGCGGCCCTGGTACCAGCTTTGAGTTTGGGTTGGCCATTGTTGAAACGCTGATGGGGAAGGAGGTGGCCGAACAGGTGAAGGCACCCCTAATATTGAAAGAGTGAAATCCTGGTCAAGGACAGGGAGTAGGACGATTTCAGCTGGAGAGTCCTGACCTTCCTAGAATAACTGAAAGATACACCATCATAAATACAATCTAATTGTGGGTGAATTTTGCAGCTGTACTCTCCTATACCTTACAAACCAGTGGTGTTTATTCCTGGAAAAAAAATCCTCTTAGCAAACAACTTCACTGAAAAACAGCCAGCGTCTAATAATCTTAGTTAGCTCTTGGATGGCATTTAAAAATCACATGGACAAATGTTTATTGATTAAATAAAAATGAAGCAACCCTGCTTGTGTGTTGTTTCTCTTTGTGTTTTCTCCCAACCCAGAGCTATGAAACCCTTTTACCACTATGGCTAGTGATGTACTGGTCAAAACAACTTACATCTAGAATCTCACACAGTTCTTCCGAAGTATGAGCTGAAATAGATTATTAAGTTGTCATTTAGAATGTGTTAAAAACAATATTTACTTTCCTTTATACAAATAAGACCCTTACCTAATAGTAATTATAGAACAACATGGGTTAAAAGTGGGAATATTCTTTCCTTGTCAAGAACCCTAGAGTTCTTACTGCCAGTAGGTTACCCATGATACTGTTTGAATTTTTATTCTGAGTTAAATGATTACAGATTCATTGAGATTCTTAGGCAGTGAGTCATCAGCATAAAGCAGGGAGTTAGTAGTTTGCCACCAGTAGCAACGGTTATTTCTGGTTACTATAAATCTAACTTGATTCGGGCCTGGCTGGGAGTGAGTTACCTGCCTTATCTCAGCTTAGAGGGTTTCCTGGGTAGTTCTGGAGGAACTAGTGGAGCTACACTTGGGATCGATTGTCATCTTTGCTACCTTACTTTTACCAAAGAACTGTGCTCAGCTGTTGTCTGACTCTGTGAGCAGCCACACTTACCAGATGGCACCTCAGTGGACTCTGAAGTTGCTACAGCGTCTGGAGACTTGGTTCTGCATGTCTCAAAAGTGTACAGATGGAACTCTGAAAAGTGACTGCATAGGTGCCTTTACAAGTGCTCATTTTAATGGAAAACAAGATCATTCTCAGTTGCTGCATTTCGACGGTGGAATACCTAGGTACTTTTGCAAATTTATAATTAAAATGTCTCTGCAGTGTTAATACCCACTGGGAGAATGGCTTTAGCTGTATGGTCTGCCTCTAATTTGTTTAGGAAATCTTTCATGAGTTTATCTAGCTTGGAAATCGCTCAAGATATGCAAAAAATTGTAATCTATGTAAAACTGGACGCTTGTTTGTCAAATCTGCAAGCCTAACGGGTACTGCTATGCAAATGTAAACTAAATGGTGGAGAGATTCTTCGAATCTGGAATAATCACTTGGTTTCTAAATGGGCATGATTCAAAATACAGGAAAAGGTGTGCATTCCTGGGCTGTAGGACTACTTTATAGCATTAGGAGGAAAATATTTCTGTACTTGTATTATATTCAGACTTCCAGAAATCTTTTAATATAAGACATCTACAAAGAGGCCAGGAGTTTGATCATACTTTTTTTTTTTAATTATTCCAAGGCTAAGAGAGTTCAGTTTACAGAAATAAGGCTTTCATTGTGTACATTTGTGCTTTCCCACTCATATTAGAGTAATAATAGGAAAAACAGTCAAATGAGCTTAGATCCCATTAGTGTATCTGGTTAGCTTGCAGATTCTTTCATTGTGTTCAACAAAAGGACTCCGTTAATAAAATGCAAGAACGCTACCTCCATCACTGTTTTCTTCATCAGGCAGGCCCTTTTCTTAGCCTTTTATGTTGCTGATGGTCAGCAAACCTGAATTTACATGGCTTCTCTGTTTCCGACCAAGGTGTTACTAACTCAGCTTTTCAGATGTAACTTAGAAAAAGCTTATGAATTAGTCAGGTTAGGCTAATTTTCTTATTGCAGGAAGTTTTAAGGAAATTTGCTGATTTAAAAGCAGAAATTGCCTTCCAACTTGTGAAATGCTTCTTTCTTCCCTCTTTATCCTGCTCGTATAGATTCCCTGAATGTTACATACCTCTTTTCCTAAAGTCCCCTATGTCTGCTGCTGAAAGATGAGATGAAGAACATTCTACTCAGGATGTTTTGTGACAATGGGAAATTTCATGTTCCTTCACCACTGGCAAGCTTTAGTTTTAGAGCTTACAGTAATCAGGTATTTTCTGCCACAGAACTTGGCCTAAAATGATAAGGGTGCCTCCACTCCTCTCTAGCTAGCATCTAATATTTTATTACCTGGCAGTTGGAGCATTTGGGGAGGTGGTGGTCAGTTAGCAGCTGTTGTATGTCTGGTATCATCTCTCAAGGGTGGTGGATTTTTTCTCGCAGTTGGCCTCTAGTTGTTGTGTAGGCTTGAATGCATATTTGAAAGTGAGCTCTTTGTACTGAGAGTTTAAAAATATTCTATAATTTAGGAACAGGAATGTACACTGGATGGCATAGATGCTAGCTTGATGCAACGCTGAAAAACATCTTCCATCAGAGGTCGTATAAATAAATGAAGGAGTTCTGAGCCAGAATAAACAGAAACACGTGGAGTATGAGGAGTCCAGCTTTGCTGCAGTTCCTTGGTAAGTTCCTTTCCAGAAATGCAGAAGCAAAGCAGGCTCTACACAACACAGTATTGTAATGTAAGCATGCACAAATCCTAACCCTGGAACATGTCCCTCTGAGCAACAGAGGCGTGTCTTTTAAAACAGGTGGAGACAAACACAACCATAATGTATGCAAAACAGCCTGCGCACCAGTGCTGACAGCTGTAAAAGTATACAAGCCATTATGCTTCATCCAATAATTACAAGCCTTAGGCAGCTTGCTAGCCATTTGGAATATGCATGCTATCTGGAAAGACCTACCTACAAGATGTGAAACGCACAGTGAAACTCAGAGCAAAGAGTGGTTACTTAATCAGATTGTCTCGTTTGGTCTTTCAACAAAAAGAGGCATTGCGATGCAGGAAACTAGCAGCGATCCCAAAATGATATAAGATAGTTTTCTTGCAGGAGCCTTGATGGTACAGGTCACTGTTACTTAGTTGTAAAGATCAGCATGTAACAGAGAAGTAGGAAAGTGCCAGCCGTGAAAATAATCACAAGAGCTGTATCCATTCTGTCATTCATGTTCACATATTGTACCTCCAGATAAAAGGATGCATTGCCGTTACATTGGAGGCTGCATTACAGTAGGGATGCAGTCAAGGGATGCAGTTTTGGAAGTCTGAAAAGTAAGCAACAAAACACTGAATGAGTGAATGAATGAAATGTTGCTGGAATTGTTAAGTAGTAATTAGTTAAATGTATTTAGAATGTGGTCTTGTACGTGTTGCAGCAGTGTGAAATGAAGTCTGGAAGGGAAACAAAATACATAAAATGAGAGCTGAGCAGGTGCTAGCACAGACATGCTTTCTTGCTGCTCTGAGCTGTCAGCTGAGTGGCTCACTGATAATATTTCCTGGCTCTCAACTTTCCTGAAGGTCTAATGTGGCCCATGTGATTCCTTCCAGCATCATCACATGGCGGGAAGTCAAGAGGCTTCTGGGAAGGACAGCAAAAAGGGCCAGGCTGCCCCTGCTAGAGCAACGTATGTGGACTTCAGCCTCGTTCCTGCCAGGCTCTGAGAGCAACTCTTGCAGTTACAGCCTCAGACACTGGCAGGGCTCATTCAGGACTACGCTTTCAGTGGGGGCGGGCATGCCATGGCAGACCTTACCCTTCCAGAACAGCCAGACCTGCTGTACATGAATTCTCCATGTCTGGAAGTATCCACCTTTCTCATATGTGCATGCTGAGCAGAGCCCTGTGCATGCACACTAGGCCCAGCCGTACAGCCCAGAGGCACTGTGGGATAAGGCCTTCCCTGCCCTTGGAGGAAACGGCACTGCCTTGTGAGGCTGGAAAGATTGGAAACATTCTCCTAGAGCATCCAATGGCAAAGGAGATCCTGCATTGGAGGGACTCGACGTTGTGAGGGAACTGAATTCAGGTCTCCTGTATCCGGAGTACTCTAACCAATAGATTAGTAGATTAAAGGACTAGGCGGCCTCATTGGTGCATCTTTTTCTGGCCACATTCTGGGATACAGGGCTGACAAATGACTGGCTCCAGAAGAGGGTTCAGAACTGTAAAACCCAGTCTCAGATACAGATGAGTCTCAATGAGGTAAAGGGCATGAGACATAGCTATCTCCTCAGACTGTCTTACTACTAGTTCCACAGCTCCCCAGTCAGCAAATAGCTTTTTATTAATCCTATTTGTAGGGACCTAAATTGCTCCTTATATTGTACAGGTGCATTGAGGTCTCTGCTGGGTAGTGCAGCAAAATTAAGTACTGCAATGCTTAGTGTTGTGCCCAGTATCTTTAGTGGGTCTAGACCCTTACTGCTTTCTACAAGGATGTTTTGTGTGCTAGAAGCTGTCACTGGCTGAGGCACAGCTCTTATACTTGGGCTTACTGCAGCTTTAGCTTAACTTCATTCAACAGCTTCTAATTATATCCTTTGTATGACCTTAAATAATTCCTCCCTCCTTAGTGTTTACTCCCCTTAGAGTCTTGCAGATACTAATGTACCATTTAACAATTTAATTCAAGGGCATTCCATTAATGACAGAGGGAGAGAGAAGTAAAGTTGTGCAAGGATATTGTGCAAACACTTGCATTCTCAAGGGTGGATTTATTTCTCGAGAGACTCATGTAACAAGGGTGGCAGTGAAGTTTCCTCAGCTGATGAAGTTTCCCAGGAGGACTAGGGACATAATGATTTTCAGAGCAATTCTTTCTGATTCCTAATACTGATGATACAACTTTTGGAAAATTATAAAAGGGACAATTTCTGCAGAATTGGAGGTATGCCCAGAACTCTGATCAGATCTGTGAATGGCCTAATGAACTTTCAGCCTGTTAGGTAGAGTTGACATTAGAACCAACATTCAGTTTCACCACTTTTGGTTCTCCTGTGGCAGGCCTCGCCATGACACGAACACCTACTAGGCAGTTGCTGTTTCTCAGCTGTCCCAATTCACAGCTTTCATACTGTTACAAGACAGGAACTATAAAGAGGGCCCGGACAATGTAGGGAGGCCTCTCCACAAGTGCATTGTAAAACAGAAAGGGAGAGCTTAGCCAAACTAAAAGAAAACAGCCATAGTGAAATAATCAGCCCTAAGAAATAACAATTAATGGGGGAGAAGGGGAAGGGAACAACAGAAATATGTCTGTATTGAGCTAGCTAAAGCTATATTTAAAATGAGTCAACTTTTATATCTTGTTCAGTACAGTATGAAG